ACTGGGAAGGGCTGGAAGGAGAAGGGATGTTCTTTAAGTTTCTTTATTTATTTTGAGAAAGAGAGAGAGAGAAGGAGAGGAGCCAAGAGACAGGGAGAGAGCGAGAATGCCAAGCAGTCTCTGCACTGTCAACACGGAGCCTGACGCGGGGCTCGCGCTCCCGAACTGTGAGATCATGACCTGAGCTGAAACCAAGAGCCGGATGCTCAACTGACTGAGCCACCCAGGAGCCCCTGGCAGGAGAAAGGATTGAAGGGAGACGAGCTGGGTGGGCTGGACCCAGGAAGGAAGGGGAATTGGGGAGAAAAGCAGTCCCCTGATCAGGCTGGGGCTCCTGTGGGGAGGCTGTACCCTGAGCCAAGGCCGCGAGGTCAGCCAGCCTGGGCCACCCAAGCCCTGTGGCACTCACCGGGGAATCTGAATGGGGGCGGGGGGTGGGCCAAGGGACCCAGAGGGAAAGCTTGTGCTCCTCAGCCCCTCAAGGTCCACCAAGTGGTAAAATTAAACCCCCTCCAGACACAGCCATCGCAAGCAGGTTTTCAGGTAACGAGAGGATTGTAAATGCAAAAACAATGCCAATTACAGCAGCATTATCCCGGATTATGAAGCTTCCAAGAGGCAGTTCACACCTCCAGGCATGTCGTGCCCGGAAATTTCCAGGGGAGGCTAAGGGATCCAAATGTCTAGGCTGCCTGAAGCCAGGCCCCGCAGTGTGGGTGGGCTGCTGGGCAGCCCCTACTCCATCACCTCTACTGACCTGCCTTTGTTTCCCCAAGAAGACAGACCACCCCAAAGAGGACCCCCCCCAGCCCCCGCCCCTACGATTCTGAGCGATATAAGCCTGGTCGTTGATCTCTGGCAGAAATTTGTCCCTTCAAGGACTTCCCCAGCCCTGGGGGCCGTGAGTCCATCTAAGACACTTTATGCAACCCCCCCCCTCACCTGACCCATGGAGTCAGGAGGGCCACACACAGTTGGAGGCAGCCCAGCGCTGCCCCTTCTGTGCGATATAACCTCTAGCCAGTCAGCCTCTCTGAATTGTGGTTTCTGCTTTGGTAAAACGGGAAGACCCCCCCCCCCACTTGGCAGGGTGTTTTCAGGGTTCAACGAGCTCTTGTAGATAGGCTTGAGGAACGGAAACTGGTACAAACTCCACGCGTGACCCCTCTGGCAGCCTCTGTTAAAACAGTGAATGTCCACGCTCTAGGCCCCGGGGATTCCTTCTCGTCATTTCCCCAAGGAGAAAGTTCTTGCAAATGACGCCCAAGGATGTTTCCTGCGGCCCCTTCTGTGAGGTTGGAAATTGTAAACAACGGAAAAGGCCGTTTCTAGGGGCTTGGCTAAATTAGGATCCATCGGTCCTGTGGAATCCTTTGCTGTAATTAAAGAGTCTGGTAGCTTCTGCGTGGCTGTCACGGGCGGATCTCCACCACGTGGGGCTGTATGAACAAAGCAAGCACCTACAGAATCATTCCATGTAAGCTCTTCGGAGCCCCCGCAAGCACCATACATTTCATATGTTCGTGTACATGCATATGTGTACGTGGATGCAATAAAAACAGCCTGGAAGAAAACGCACACACACACACACACACACACCCCCAAATGACCCAGTGGTCACCTCAGGGCGGGGTCACCGGGATGGAGGCTGTAACTGGCGGGAGCATCAGGGGGACTTTTACAGCCTGCGTTATGCCTGTTACACCTGCATCACCTGCTTGGATAAACACATCCTAAACGCAGAGTGCAGAGAGGAGGGTCGGCCCCGTGCCCCGCCAATGCTCGCAGGCCGTGATTATGACCGCAGGTCAAGGGAGGAGCCTAGTAAGGGAAGTGTCCCAGGGCCCTGTGCTGCTGATGTCCCCAAACTCTTGGAGTCTGAATCCAGGTCTGAGGAAGCCCCTCAGGCGGGTAAATGACGTCCGTTGGCACGAAGGAGGGACAGAGAGACGCCGCTGTGGCAGCCTGGCGGGGCTGAGGCCATGGCCCACCTCTCCTGGCTGAGCAGTCTGCCAAGGAACCTATTGAGCTACATAAAAATCCATCCTGGAAATCCCAGAGGCATCCTTAGCATGGAGGGCGCCTTTAAATTAGAAGGGGAAAAAAAAAAAAAAAAAAAGGCAGATTTGCCAGTAACTTGATTTCAGGTTGGCGAGGGCTGATGGCCAAAGCGCAGTGGCTCTGCTTGGCCAAGGCCCCCAGGCCACACGGTCCTGCAGTATTGGGTGTGAGGGGAACCCCGGCCCCACCGAGGTTCTGTGTGGAACCGCACATGTTCCCATGGAAACTCTGCTTTGCAGATTCCTCTGGAAATTGTCACTGAGGAGAGGCAGCCGCTTCCCACACCCATTTTTGTGTTCCTGGGTTTGGTTTCCAGGGATGATTCTCTCAGGCAAGCACCTGAGAGGAGCAGGAGCAGAAAGGGGGTTGGAGGCTGAAACCCGGAAGGAACGGGCAGCGGGGGCCATTTCTGAGTGGCTGCCCCAGAGGAGGTGGAGGGTGCCAGAAGTAAGCTGAACTGTTTCGGACGCCTGAGGCTGAGAAGAGGGTGTCAAGGCCCGACCTAGGAGGGCAGGGGGGGCTCCGCTGAGAGCTGGAAGGAAATCCCCGTCAGAGCCAGGCAGGCTAGATGGAGACTGTCCCCCTGAATTGGGGCAGGGTCTGGGTGGGAAGAGGCTGTGCCCAGGGCCTGGCCCTCAGGGGCCGCGGGGTGGGGGCGGGGGAGGGGGGTCCACAGCGCTAGGCCAGGAATCCGCCCTCAGGATGTGGCCATCCACCCTTTGGGTCTAGGGCCCCCTAGGGCTCCACTCTACCAGGGTCTCACCTGTTCCCCTCCGATCCGACTCCCTCGGGGTGCTCCCAGCTGGCCCTTCTTCCTCCGGCCACTCCTGTCCCGCCTGGGCCAGGAACAGCCCTCCCCATGCCATCCCTCTCTGTTTGCCTTGCCCCCACCCCGGGTGCTCCCTGTGGGGGCTACAGAGCCTGGGTCCCCATCTCCCCCAGGGAGTCCTAACCCCTCTTTTAGCAGACCCCCTCCACACTGCTCCGTGATAGCCTGGTTTTCCTGGAGGCTGAGTGCGGAAGAAAACGCACACCCGCTGAGCCTCTGGAGGAGCACAGTTCCCCTCTGTCCCCTCTGAGCCACGCCCAGCGGTCTTGATTGTCACTGCAAGCGAGGCTCAGGGGGACATGGCTGCTGGGAGGTAGAGGTGGGGTTCGAGAGAGGCCAGCAGCCACCCGGCCTCACAGGGCTCCCCCCTGTGCCCATTCAGAGTCCAGAGGCCACACAAGCCTGCCTGCCCTCAAGGAGCACCATTCGAAGCCCTCTCTGTCCCCTTCTCCTCCCTTACTGCCACCTGCACCCCCCTAAAGTAATCTGCCACCCCTCCACCTACACCAGCCCTTCGGGCTCAGGTGGGAACTGTTGAGCCCAAGGAGGGACGAGATCCTATGTAGGTTTTATCCCTTTGTGGAGAAGAGACAGGGGGCGGGGCAGGGCAGCCTGGACCAAGGCAAGCAGGTGTAGCCCCCTCAGGCTTCCCCGGTACCCCCGGAGCTGGCTGGAAAAGTCTGACTCCCAGCCTGAGGGGCTGGGGTCCTGGGGCCAGGAGAGAGAGGCCGAGGCCCAGCAGGTAGCCTCCTCCTGGTCTTGCTGGCTTTGGTGTCTCTGGGGAGGCTTGCTGTCCCCTGAGCAGCATGCCTCCCCTCCCCCCCCCCCCCCCCAGTATGCCTCCCCTACCCCCAACTCCCAACCCTGGCCTCTGCCTCTGGCTGTTGGAGTCTGCCTGTTGGAGTCCGGAGCCTGGAAGACACTTCTGCAGGCAGCTTCGCCCCCTGAACAGGCAAGGAATTCATTCAACTCCAGCCTCCTGGTGAGCAGGGCCCTCTCCACTCAGCCTTATAATCCCACTAGAGCCTTCCTTGCGCTGTGCTCACAGACCAGGCTCAGAACCAAGCTTGGAGGCTGTGGGCTGCCCTGTCCTGTGGGCCCAAGGAGGCTGCGGGCCAGCCTAGCAGAGGGGCCGGGATTTCTTTCGAATGTCAGTCTACTGCTTCCCCTCCCCCAAGACCCCCCAGCCCATCTACCCTGAGGGAAGGGCCTGACCTGCAGACCCAGTGCCGCCTTCAAGCTGCCCAGTACGGCACAGGGACCAGGGCCGGGGCTCATGCCTTGGGCCCCCCCAGCGTCCCTAGACACGTTTGGGGTTTGTGTGCAAGGGCCCCTCCCTCAAGGACCTCTGGGAAGAGCGCGGGGGTGGGAGGGAGGATTTTACAAATGAGATCGTGGAGAGCAGCAGGGGTGGCGGAGAGCAGGGGAGGGAAGGAGCAGAGACCAACAGCCCAGGTGATCCCCACCTTAGCCCCCTCCTGCCTGTGTAATGGGCTGCTGAGGACTTGGAGCCCCAGAAACGGCTCTGTGCAAGCACTGAGGGCCACTGTCTGCACGGGGCCTGAGCTGCGGCCACATCGAGGGGGCCCTCCTGCAGCCCAGAGGAGCCCCAGGCACCAGACCACTCGGCTAGAGCGTGTGAGGAAGTGCCCCGGAGCACTGGGGCAGGTGCACAAGGCAGCCAGAGGGAGGAGGTGGGTGGGGTCCGCGTGGATCAGATGGTGAGGGCTCTGGGGTAAGGAGAAGTCGCCGAGGCCCTGAGGGTGGAGGAGGGCTGCAGGTGTTGGCAGAGCGTGTAGAGGGCCAGGTCGATGGGAGACGGCTTTGGGGTCCCCGTTGGGGGATGGAGAGCTTCAGGAGGTTCAGCCCGTTTGGCCAGCATCTGCCCCAAACGTGCCGGATCTGCTTCCTCAGCTGCCCTGCTCCAGGCCCCCAGCCTGACGACCGGCACTCAGCCACCTCCTTGGCCTCTGGCTCTGTCCCAGAGCCCAGCCCCGCCTCTGCACAGCTCCTTCGGGCCCACACCCCATTCCTCCTGCGCCAGCCCCCTCCTCTACTTTGTGCGGCCGCCGCCTTGTGCCTTTGACCTAGCCAGGTAGGGGCACGGAGGTGGGGTATTTGTGTAGTCGTTCCTTTATTCATCCCCGCGGATGCTCGCGCTCACGGCACCAAGGGTCCTTTGCTGGGAACCTCCCCGAGGAGCTCACGGTTGGCCTCGCCGCCGGCTCAGGCCGTGGTGCAGGCTGGCGCCCAGAGAGCCCATGAAAGGGTGCGGAGGGCTTGGGGAGGGGCTGTGTCGAGGAGAGCCTGTGAGGACTGAGGAAGGGCTCCCGGGCAGAAGGGACAGTCTGGGCAAAGGCCAGATGTGAAACGCTGTGACCGGTGGGTCTGGCTGGGACACAGAAGGAGGGGGTAGGGGGCAGGCCAAGGCCGGAAGTGCCTTGAATGTGGGGGCAAGGTGATGGGATGCCCCTGGGGCCTCACTCCTGGGATAGGACAGGTCCTGTGGAAGGAGGAGCTGCTGTGGGGCATCTGATCCAGGGCGAGACCGAAGGGCCCGTGGAGCTCATCCTAGAGATTTTCATAGACCAGGTTAAATTCGCTGTCATTCGTAAATCTGTGCATTTTCTCCTGGGGAAAAAAAGGAAGGAAGGAAGGAAGGAAGGAAGGAAGGAAGGAAGGAAGGAAGGGTAGGACACAAGGAGAGAAGAAGTGGAGAAAGGAAGAGAAAGAATAGGTAGGAAGAGAACAAAGTTGTACCAATGCAGTTTTAGTCAGAGGCGCAGCTCTGACTGGGAGGCCTGTCCTTGTCCCCAAGGCCACCTCACCAGTCTCTTCCTCCACTCCACCCACCCTTGCTCTCTGCCCTCCAGCCCTTCCGCCTCCCCACATGCTCCTCCCTCTGCCTTGGGTGTTCCCCCACCCCACCAACTCCCCGACCACCACCTACTCCCCCTGCAGGGTTTGGTTCAGCACCCCCGAAAACCCCCTCCCCTGGCCCTAGTCTGATGCCTCCCCCCAGCACACCCCTCACAGGGGGCTGCAAATGCCTCTGTTTGTTAGTGAGTGTTCCTGCAGACCCGAGGCTCCCGAAGGGGCCAGCCGTCCTGGCGACACCTCAGAGCCTGGCACATGGCGGGCACTGCCTAGGATGGCCCAGACATCCTTGGGGGGTCTCGGCATGGGGAAGCCCTGCTTCCAGTCAGGGCCTAGTTCAGGGCTGAGTAGAGCACGGGCTTGGAGAAGAGGAGTCAACAATGCCAGCCTGGGCCTCCTGGGCTGGGGGGAGGCCAAGTTCCAGCTCCCTCACTTCTGACGGCTCTTCCAAGATGCCCGAGGGCCCACCCACTACCCAAGGGCTCCTGTACTGGCTCGATGAACCCCCTGCACCTTATGATGCCCAAAGCTCGGGTGTCGACATTACTTAACCTGGAACTCATTCGAATTCAGGGCAGTTGGTTTTGTAGGAAAGGGTCACTCATCCAGTTTACAGATGAGCAAACAGGTTTCAGAGAAACCATGACCGGTGGCACCTGGGTGGCTCAGTCGGTTGAGCGTCTGACTTCGGCTCAGGTCATGATGTCCCCGTTCGTGGGTTCAAGCCCCACGTTGGGCTCTGTGCTGACAGCTCAGAGCCTGGAGCCTGCTTTGGTTTCTGTCCCTCTATCGCTCTCTGCCCCTCCCCCGCTTGTGCTCTGTCTCTCTCAAAAATAAACATTAAAAAAAAAGAGAGAGAGAGAGAGAGAAAGAATAATGATCAAGTGATATGCCTTGGCCTCCCTCATGATGAACACGGACCCCTGACCGGGCCAGCTCAGGCTTCCAACTTTAGCCAGTGTCAGCCTGGGGACAGCTGGAAACCTAATAACCCCTGCCCGATCGACCAGTGTAGACATTGCTCACACCGCAAAACCCTACGGGGCCCCAGTACCACGTTTGACCCTCATGGCAAGTCTGTGACTCAGTTTACAGAGGAGGGGACTCAGGCTCAGAGGTAAGCCCCTCGGCCAGGGCTGCGCAGCTGCCTGGGGACAGAGCAGGGGCTCAAACCCACTAGTCCCCTTAACCGCTAGGCCGCCTGCCTAGGGGAGAGGGCTCTGATTCGACTGCAAGAGGTTCACTCCTGTGGTCCTATTTACCCCCACTTCACAGATGAGGAGAGAAGGTCTCACGGAGTAAAAAGGGGAGCCAGGCACGCTGCCCCACCCCCCTGCATACCTGGGAGACAAGGCTCTGGGTTGGGGGGCAGGCTGCTGGGCACGGTCTGGATGCAGGAGTAGATTTCAGTGTCTCTGCCCTGTAGAGACTGTGGGAAAGGGCAAGGGTCAGAGGAAGGTGACCTGGGGGGCAGGGACTGGGTCCCAGCAGCCAGGCCTCCCCGTTGTGATCACCTCTGCCTGCGGGCCCCCAGGAAACAGGGCCCTTTGGGCCACAGCCTGTGAGGGGACAGTTACCTCGCCCAGCTACGTCATGCACGGCCATACCACTTGTTCACGGAGACTCTCCTCTCTGTGCCCCCTGTTATCTGCCTCATACCATCTCAAGGTCTTCTGCTCAGCCTGGGTGGGCCCTCTATAGGCTTCTGCCAGGGGCCCAGATCCACTCCCACAGTCCTTGCCGGTCCTTAGGCCCTCCAGAGCCTGGTTGCCAGCAGTCCCGGCCATGACACCCATGGCCGTGGTTCCAATAGGATGCCCTCCCGGCACCTGTCCTCACTCCCTGGGTCCAAAGCCACTGCACCCATGAGGGTCCTGGCCACCCATCCACCCCTATAGGATTCCTTTGACACCCCCACCGCAGCCCCTGCTCACAGATGACTTAGGCACCTGCCGGGTCATACACCTCTCCCATTAAGCTGTACCTGGTGCGTGTCTGGGTCACTGAACCTACAGCTTTTGCTGGGCATACTTGGAGACTGGCACCACAGGAGCTATGATGAGGGGGCTCCTTGCTCACCAGGGCGTGTGCCTTGAGGCCACAGTTACTCTTGGCCTAGCTATGAACAGCCTGGCCAGAGGTGTCAGGACGGTAGAAAGAGCTAGGCCTTGAAATCAGACAAGAGTAAGCATCGCTCTCAGCTCTGACCATGTGCCAGCCCTGGACAGCCCCTGGAACTCTCTGTGTCTGAGTTTCCTCACCTGTGAGATGGGAATAATCATATTTTACCTTGCAGGCTCAAAGCACGATTAAATGAGATACTGTATGTTTGGCACAGGGTTTGGCAAATAGTTGTTGCTGAACACCTACTGAATGACTATGAGTTGAGCAATTGTCCGGGGAGGCTTGGTGCCTCCCTCCCCTCTCTGCGGTCAGAGCCTGGACCCTCCTCCAGACTCTGTGGGGCACCCGGGTCCCATGCGAGGAGCAAACGCTGTTCTTCGGGGTTGGCACATCAGAGCCACCAACGGCCTCGGCGAGAGGCAGGAACCTTCCCTTCCCGCGCGCGTACATGTCATATGGAAGCCGGCTGGTTGCCAAGGAGGTGGTTTCCCTGGCAACAGGCAAGCAGGGGTTGCCGAGGCAGGCTGGAGAGACAGGTGGTGCTCTGAGGCTAAGGGAGGGGGGAGGTGGGGAGGAGAGGAGGGAGGGAGGCGCGGAGAGGTAGCAGTGCATGAAAACCCGAGTAATAAACCATTGGCGCTCCGGAGACCCTCGCTTCAAGGGCATCACACACAGAGATGGCTAGGCAGCCCTGGGGATCAGTTCAAGGGGCCCTGAGTCAGGGGTCTTGAGGAGAGGGGCTTCTGACCCTCCTCCGGGGAGGGAAGGGGGCCAGACTGCCCCAAGGAGAAGCCCCATCTCCAGTGGAAGGCGACCTCTAGGGTCCCTGCTCAGGCCTCTCTGGTCTTCAGGCCTGCCTGGCACACAGAATAGGCATCTGCTACTCAGCAGCCCTGTGCCCCCAGCCTCTGTCCGCCAGACCTGGATCTCCTCCGAGCTGGCAGGCCTTCCAAGCTGGACATTTCCGGTCACAGAGTGAAGGGAAAAAAGGGCCTCCCTGCTGACATCTCAGCAGGGGAGCCGGTCTGGGGTCCCACACGTGGCTCCCTTCTCCCTCACGTCCAGCCCACGTGGGCTGCCTGTCACACATGAGCCCAGAGAGGCTCAAAGATGTCTCGGGTCACACAGCCCCCTTGGGTGGCAGAGCCAGGATTGAAACTCAGGCCTCCTGCCCCAGCTCCACGCACTCCCCCTGGGCCAGGCAGCGGCTGGGGGACTTCTGAGACACGGAAGAACACCCTGTCACGGGACCCCACCAGGCCTCTGACCCTGCTGAGGGCAGGAGAGGCAGGGGGGCTGAGGGCAGGGCAGGCTGCAGGGGTCGCTGCCAGTTAGCAGCTGCTGAGTGAAGCCTTTGACAAGCCCTGACCTGCTGGGCTGCATTTGCATTCAGGGTGTGACCCGCTTCGATGGGCTGTGAAATGCCTGGCGGCTTCGGGGGCTCGCACCTCCTGGCCTTCCTTTGTGGTGATGGGAACTGCCTCCCTCGGGGTGTGCCTGCTGGGAGAGGACTGCCCTGGCCTCTCAAAGGGCCGCACTGGGCTGGGCTGGGCTGGGCTGGGCTGGGCTGGGTTAGAGCAGGGCTGGGCTGAGCTAGGCTGGCCTGAGCTGGGGCGGCTCGGGAACGTACTGTGCTCAGGCCGTGCTGGCCTGTGCTGCGCTGGGCCAGGGCTGTTTGTCTGGGACCCGGGCCCCCCAAGTCCTTTGCTTCCTGCTGCTCTGTGGGCCACAGTGCTGACCCAAATGGCTGTCAGTGCTGAAGTGTGGAGTCAGCGGCAAAGCCTTCCTCCAGGTCAGCTGAAGCCAAAGCTGAAGTCAGCTGCCCCGGGGCCAGGACCTAGTACGAGGGTTCTAGACATTGGTCCCCCTGTAAGACCTACCCCTCCCTGTGACCAGGAAAACGCAGGAGCTGCACTCTCGCGGGCACCTGCACTTAGGGACTTGCACAACGCACTCTGGGGGCAGCTGGGGGCAATTTGGGGGTGTTGTGCCAAAAGGCCCAGCGCTCATCGGAGAAGAAGTACCTCTGCTGTAGGTCAAGGTCCTGGCATGTCTGAAATGAATGGCCCACTGAGGGGACAGGAGTCCGGGGAGGCAGGGCTGGAAGAGCCCTCCAACGGAGGCTGCCAGGCTGAAGAGCTGGCAGTGGGGAGTCCCTGGAGGCTTCTGAGTGGGAAGCGACCGCATCGATGGCGTGTTAGTGAGGTCCCCCCGCTGCAGTGGGCAGGCAGGAGGGCAGCAGGCCAGGCTGAGGATGTAGCAGAGCTGAGGGAGGTGTTCCGCAGAGCAGATGCCCCACATGTGCCCCGGGGTGCCCAGCACCGAGCCCCGTGGAAACCCAGGCATCTGGAGGGTAAGAACGGCCCTCCGCTTGTCCATATGGCACTTGACTGCTAGGCACCCACTGTGTGAGACAAACCACGGTCACAAAAGTAAGAGGTGGCCATAAGGACCACAGAGGGACACGGAGAAGGAGGATAGGGAGGTTGGGGTCGTGGAGGGGGTGGGGAGCTTGTATTCTAAAAGGGAGGTCAGGAAAGACCTCATGGCCAACGTGCCATCTGAGCAGGGTGCCGGGGAGGGAGGGAGCAGCCCCCATGGACAGCTGCAGAAAGGACACTCCGGAACAGAGGGCACGGCCGACAGCAAGGCCCCATGGTGAGGGAATGCCTGGTGTTTGGGAACAGCAAGGAAGCCAGTGTGACTGGAGAGAGGGGGAGACCATGAGGGCAGAGCTCGTGGAGGCTCTGTCCGGGGCTCTGACGTCAACCCTGAGTGAGGCAGGAACCTTGGGAGGTCGGTGGCAGTTGTGAGAACGTGCTCCCCAGACCTCCAGGCCCAGGGACCAGTACTGACCAGGGGCCCCAGCTGCGGGGCTCTGGAAGCCATCATCATGGGTACACGGAAGCCACGGAGGCCCTGGGGGCTCCTCCCAGCCGGTGGCCAAGCACAGTGGGGGTGCCCGCACAGCCTCCTACCCTGGCAAAGGACCTCCTCTCGCGTGCGCGCGCACGCCCACCGGCCTTGCCGAGCCTTCCCTAGACCGTGCGGCCTCGGGACTTCCTCTCTGCCGTCCTTCCCACTTTCCTCACTCAGGACCAGCTCTGCATTGGTCTGATGGCCCGCCCAGGCTTCCCCATTTTCTCCCACAGGTGGTTTCCTTACTAAGACCATTTCAGGTTCGCCCCAGCTCTGTGGCTGCTTCTCTGACTCCCCAAGGGCCCCGAGCAGAGCGAATGTGATCTGTTCTCGAGCAAGATCCCTCTGGCTGCTGCCCAAGGACAAGGATAACAATAGGCCAGCTGATCAGAAACCAACTGCAAGGCAGCAGACAAGAAACGGTGGTGGCTCCCACCAGCGTTAGCACCGGGTGGGGGGCGGGGATTCCGGACACGCTGTGAAACGCGGCGCGCTGACAGATCAGATATGAGCCGTGACAGAAACAAGCGAAGGACGACTTCCAGGGCTCAGCCTGGACAACTGGAAGGCTGGAGCAGTCCGTCCCTACAACGAGGACCATGAGTCGAGGCACCTCAGTGGGTAAAGACTTGGAGGCTGGTCTGAGAGAGAAACCGGTGACTCAGATGGAGGGACTCTGGTGTTCAGAGGAGGTGTCTGGGCTGGATGTAGAAACGTGAGAGTTGTCAGAATATAGATGGTGTCAAACCTCAAGGCTGAGTGAGATCACCCAGGGGTTGAAGGTGGGGAAGAAGATCAAAGAGAAAGGGTCCCAGGACTGGACTCTGATGTTGAGAAGTCAGGATTCCATGAGGAACCAGTGAAAGAAGCTAAGGAGGCCCCAGCAGTGAGTCTGAGGAGGGGGCATCACGAGGGTGTAGAATGTTCTGGAAGCAAGTAAAGAAAGCGTGTCAAGGAGGGAAGAGAGTTTGGTAGTGTCAGATGCTGCTGATTCATTAAGGAAGATGAGGACCAGGATTTAATCCAATGACATTTGGATGTAACAAAGTGGAGGCTGATGGTGACCTTGAGGAGGAAGATTTTGATGAATACCTGGGCAGGAAGCCCTCCTGAGGGGGGTCGGAAAAGGAGAGAGAGGAACTGAAGACAGAGAGTTTTGACATTTCTGTTATGAGTCGTGGAGAAAGGGCAGGGTCACTGGAGAGGGACGTGGGCTCGATGTAAGAAATCCAGGATGGAAGAAACCATAGCACGTTTGCAAGCTGTAAATGCAATATTCTACTGTTAAACCCTACTTTACAGATTAGGGAACCAAGACTCAGAAAGTTTAACAGAACCTACAAGCAAAAGAAGTAGGCTTCGAACCCCAGTCTGCCTGATCCACTCCAAATCCATGCCCCTGAATAGATTACTGTTAAAAAAACAAATTGGAGTGGTACAGCTTTTTTTTTTCCCTCATGCCACAATATATCATGAGTATTTTTCCACATGAATAAAAAGGAAGACTTGACATAATTAAAAGGAGAAATATACAAATATACAAAGAGATGGACAGATTTAACTCACTTCTTCTAACATCTGATAGACCAAAACCAAAAACTGATAAGGAAATGGAATATTTTATACAGCACGATCAACAGACTTGACCCAATTAACACACGTAGCACACCTAGTCAGCCGTGCACAATGCAAGTTCTTTGCAAGTGCACACAATACAGGCTGAGCCATAAAGTAAGTTTTGAGAGACTTCAAAGGATTAAAATCATACAGACTATATTCCCTGATCACAGTGGAATTGGCGAGAAATAAAAGATGGAACAATGACTAGAAAGTAATTAAACATTTGAAAATGAAGCAAAATACTTTTAAACAACCCATGGGGTGGGGCGCCTGGGTGGCGCAGTCGGTTAAGCGTCCGACTTCAGCCAGGTCACGATCTTGCGGTCCGTGAGTTCGAGCCCCGCGTCGGGCTCTGGGCTGATGGCTCGGAGCCTGGAGCCTGTTTCCGATTCTGTGTCTCCCTCTCTCTCTGCCCCTCCCCCGTTCATGCTCTGTCTCTCTCTGTCTCAAAAATAAATAAACGTTAAAAAAATTAAAAAAAAAATAAATAAACAACCCATGGGGTAAGGAAGAAATCCCAACAGAAAATTTAAACTGAAAGATAATAAAAATATGACATATCAAAATTTGTGGGATACAGCTAAAGCCATAATTAAAGGGAAGTTCATAGCTTTTAGTGCATAGATGAGAAAAGAAGAAAGATTGGGACACCTGGGTGGCCCAGTCGGTTGAGTGTCCAACTTCCACTCAGGTCATGATCTCACGGTTCGTGAGTTCGAGCCCTGCATCACAGAGCCTGCTTTGGATCCTCTGTCCCCCACCCCCACCCCACCTCTCTGCCCCTCCCCTGCTCACTCTCTCTCTCAAAAATAAACGTTAAAAAAAACCAGAATTAATGAATTCAACAAGGTCACTCTATATAAAGTCAATATGCAAAAGCCAATCATATTTCTACATACTTACGATAGACAATTAGGAAATAAAATTGAAATGGGGCTAGCACCTGTATGTGAAATCCCTAACGTGAGACTCAATGACATAACAGGTGTAGAATCCCACCACAGTGCCTGGCACATAGTAGGCACTCAACAAATGCTCCTGAAGTCATCACCCCTGTCGTTAATGTCATGCCTACCTGCCCAGCTGGTAGGGACCAGCCTCAAGGGCTCCCAAAGTCTGTGGCCTCCCTTCACGTCTCCTTTCTTGTCCCGAAATCTCTTGAAACCACCCCTTAACCCCACGGGGCCGTTGGGCTTCTCCCGCACACCCTGGAAAAGTCTGCCTGAGCCTCGGAGTAATCTAAACACGGGCAGGAAAAAGATGTTCCGTGCAGAAGTGAGTCTCTTCCATTAAAACCACGCTGGTAGAAGGATATTTATTCATGTGGAAAGATGTTCATGAGATATTGCAACATGAACAAAAATAGCTGTACTACTCCAATAAAAAAAAAAAAAGTACGTGTGAGTGTGTATATGGGTCTCTTTGTATGTATTTATAGAAAAAAGACTGGAAGGTATAGAAGTCGATGTTACTAGTATTTATCCTGGAAGAAAATAGGCTTAGGATGATGGTTATTTTCTTCATAGACATACATACATATATAATAGAGAGAGAGAGAGAGAGAGAGACAGAAAGATCGTGTGTGTGTGTGTGTGTGTGTGTGTGTGTGTGGAGAGAGAGAGAAATGTTTTTATTCAAAAGCTGACACCAGAATCCCTCACAGGGAAAATACCCTGAGTCGTCGAGAGAGCAGAGGGGACATGGGGAAGTCTGAGACCACGTGGGAAAGTGGCTGGTGGAAATTCCCCGGAGTGGAGGGCTGGCCGTGTTCTGTTCCATTTGGAGCTGTTGGTGCTGGAGGGACATTGCCTTTGCCCCATCCCCATCTGTCCCCTCAGGACATAGGACATCTGTCCCCATCCTCAGGAAGTAGGGCCATACTCTGAATGCCCTCTGTGTGGCCCCGAGTCTCCTGCGTGTCCGGGTGGTGGGAACAGACCAGCGACAGCAGGTCCCGGCAGGGCTTGGTACCTCCAGGTGTGGAGCCGAGATCCTGACCTGGCAGCTGTCGGTCTCATGGTGCCGAGAGCCCAGCTGACACTGGGTGGCATTTATTCACTTCCTCTACAGTGAGCATACGCTGCTTGTGGAACTAAACTAGACGTAGCTGAAAAGTCACCTTCCCGGCCGCTGGGCAGAGAGGGGCTGTGTGGGGACCCGCGGGGACCGGTGGGCGGGCTCATTCACACCCCACAGGAGCGCCAGGCTGAGCCTCCCCCAGGTAGATACGAAGACAGGTACAGCACAGGAAATGCTTATGACACGACAGACATCCCAGCTCATCCCAGCTCGCGTCTCTGCCTGATTTTAAGGAGAAGAAGCGATGCCTGCGTGTGGGGGAAGGGAGGTGTGAAAAACTGAAAAGCGTTGATGTGTTAAGGGCTCGCGATGGCGCCTGACCTTTCCCTCTTTCTGCTGTTTGCTGTGATGCTGTTCGTGCAATAAAAACAGGAAAGAGCTGCTGAGCCCGTCAACGTCACTCATTCCTACCCACCTCGTGCCCCGGCTGGCCCTTGTCCCAGAAGCAGGGGGGCGTGCCAGGGAGCGGGGCTCGGTGCCACCTCACAGCTCCCTGCCCGCCAGGGGCCAGGGGCCACACGCTTGCTCATCTTCACAGAAATCCCGCCAGGTTAGAATTCTTGTCCCCAGTTTGTGGGCTGGGAACTGGAGGCTCAGAGGTCACGCAGCCGGTACATGGCTGAGCCGGCCCCGGCCCCTGTGCCAGGCCTGAGAGAGGCAGAGGGAGCCCAGGCCCCAAGACTCACTGCGTAGATGGATTCGGCCACAGGCTGCTCCTGGCCGTGGGCGGTGCCGGGGTCCAGGCGCTTCGGGGGAGCCCGCATCTGTCCCTGCGAGGAAAGGAGTCGGGCGTCAGGGCGGGGGATGGGCAGCTCCCACCGCGCAGACCCCCCCCCCTTGGGAAAAAATAGCAGATTGTCACCAGGCTGCTCAGAAATTGATCACTCAGCACCTCCTCCCACCCACCTTCCCCAAGGAAACGGGGCAAATGCCTCCAAGACCCACGTCGAGCCACCTGTCTGCCTGCGCTTACGGAGCGGTCAAGACCCCCACGGGGTCAGCCAGTGCCCGGCTCAGGGGAGACAGGCAGTGCAGGACACGGTGACAGGGCCCCTGGCTACGGAGCTGACTGCTGTGGGTGGTCCGATGTCCAGTGCCACTCTGCCCCTCATTGGCCCTGTGGCCTCATTCATGCCACTTCCCCCCTCCGGGCCTCACTTCCTCCAGCAAGAACCCTCTTTTGCGAGATTGTTGCAGAGAGGCGGGGAGGTGACCAGGGCATGAGTACTTGGCACTCAGTCCTCGGCCAACCAACACATGCCCGTCAGCCACCTCCTGTTGGCCAGGTGGTCCAAAGAGGTGGACGCTGTCCCTGCGTTCCTGGAACCGAGGACCCCGTGGGGAGACGGACGATGAACTCCCAGTTTTGCCAAAGCAGGGTTCATGCGCTGACCGACAGGACAGAGAGCCTCCGGCGCACACTGGTGGGGGGGGCACGCCCCTCACCTGGCAGAAAGGGGGTTTTAACCCTGAATGCTGAGGAACTACGTCGGGCAAGAGAGGGAGGGGAGGCAGGCAGAGGGAACGGCATGTGCCAAGGCCCTGAGGTCTCCAGGAACTTCAAGAGAGTCAACGTGGCCAGAGAGAGGCGAACCTGCCACAACGAGCAGGGCTGAGCTAACAGTGTGGTCTCAGTGGAAAACATCTGAGCGCTTCCAGCGGGAGGACGGCCCTCCTCGTGGCAAGCACCACACCGCCACCAATGGAGCCATAGCAGCCTCGTCTCGGGGCAGGGGCTGATTAAAAATCCTGGCCGCCTGCCCGTCCCCAGCCCGTTTACTCGGATTAGCTCTCCAGAGCTCCTCAACTGTCAGGCAGAAGCCGGCACCACCCCGGTCGCAGCCTAATCATCGCCCAGGAGAGGAAGGCTCACCGGATGCCAGGTGGGGCCCTCTCTGCGCGCATCCCCCGCCCTACCTCATGTGCTTCTCAACACACCGGCAAGACAGGTTTTCAAGTCACCTCCGTTCCCCACGTGAGGACGGGGAGGCTCAGAAAGGGCAGGCGACCCGCCTGAGCGACCCCCCCAGAGCCGGAAGGGGCAGAGGTAGGATTTGAACCCGGGTCCGTGTGATTCACCAAGATGGCCGACCTGAGAGTATCAGTTTTCGCCTCTCTGTTTTGTCCTAACGTGCGGGTCTCGTAGGCGGTTAGATAGGTGTTGGCACCCGCGTGGCACTTCACAGCCTATGATTCTCTTTACTGCCTGCGGAAGTAGACCCTACAGAGGGGGAAACTGAGGCATGTCTAGCTAGTCAATGACCGCCTTTGCACGGAACCTAGACGTCCTGTTCCAAATCTAGTGTCCTTCCCCTGCACCATCTGTCACAGAGGCCATGGCTCACCTCAAGACAGCCGGGGGCCTGGTGCCTCTCCCCTCGCTGACCCTGCCAAGGCTGGTGGGTGCGAGCTCATGGGCAGGGGCTCTTCTGGGCCCCGGGGGGGAGGGGGGGAGGGGGCAAGACCCAAACCTGTCCTCGTGGTGCTTCTCCTGAGACCCGTGGGGCCACCAGGCAGGTAAGTACCATTGTGGGGGTGTGGGAGGGAGCCCCGAGACTGCCAGGGGGCCGGGGCAGACTTCGGAGGGCTTGCCGTGTCTCCTGAGGATGGGAGAAGAGTCTGAGAAAGTGTCACAGGCCACGGGGACAACGCACGGAATAGCATCAGGGCAGGAATATCAGGTGTCGGGGACACGCTCGAGGACAGACTGTCTGAAGGAAAGTAACTGATGGAAGTGAAAGATGGAGGCAGCACACGAGCAGGAGGCTGGCGAGGGCGTTGCCACACCAGGCGGGGTCCACAAGCCACCAAATTTGGTGACATTTGCATTTTCTAAGGCTTCTCCACTCCCGCCGGTTTGGGTGGGCTGCAAGTGGCGAGGGGCGGTAAGGGGAAGAGGCAAGAGATCTCCAGGAGTGGGGGGGGGGGGAGTCCTGGGCTGTGGCGCAGAGGGGGTGCCCCCCTCGAAAAATCAGATGAGCGCATTTTGTTTCGGGGCTGGGGATGCTCCGCCCCTTGGAGCCAGCCTTGCCCTACCCAGGTGCCTTGTTCCCTGCCATCAACACGTGTCCTTCCAGTTGGGCTTTTCAAATGAATACACCAATCCGTGTGGCCGCCAGCAGCTCGGGAAACCTGTAGAGCCCCAGCTTCCCCCTCTGTGAAATGGGAACAATCCCGTCGCCTTGCCTACCTCGCAGCCTGGCCATCTTCGACTCACCTTCCAGGTCTCAGTGCTCACTTACTAAGCCGCTCCTCCCACGAGCACCGAGCATGTGTCAGGCTCCCCCTGGCAAGGGGGAGACGAAGTCCCTGCCCTCTAGGGCTTAAGTTATGGTGGCGGAAACAGTGGCAAACACAAAGCACAGGTGTGGGGAGCAGGGCCGAGGGGACATGAGTGGAAGCAGGGAGACCGGTGAGGGGGTGACGGCAGCCCCAGGCTGGGGGGCGGGGCAGGGGAGAAGGGGCTGGATCGCAGACAGATTGTGGGCAGGGCTTGCTGTGGGGGAGGGGGAGGAGCCCAGCACAGCTCTAAGGCTTTGGGCTGAGCATCTGGGGGCATGGTGCCATTTGCAGAGACAGGGCAGATCTGGATGCTAAAGAGTGATGTCGGGGGCAGGGGGTGCGGACGCCTGTGGGCCTCACACAGCGGGCCTGGTCTGGAGCCCGGGGAGGAGTCTGGGCAGCGTCAGGGGTGAGGAACATCACTTCAGGAGCAAAGCCGTCACCAGGGAGTGTAGACCGAGCAGGGAGAGCGCTGAGGAAGGAGCCTGAGACGTGCAATGTTTAGATACGTGTGACCAGCCCAGGGCTGCTCAGGGGTCCTGGAACCCGGGGAAGAAGCCTGTGGCGGAGGAGGGAGACCTGCTGTGTCACATGCCCTCAAGGGCTGAGGACCGAGCAGCCTGCTCCCGGAAGCAACCTTCATCCCCAAGCCGGGTGGGAGCCCTCCAGCCTGCTCTTGTGGTAGGAAATCATCGGCCTTTTCTGGGCCAGTGGCTCCCGGCTTCGATTCATTTCTCCACAGCTGCCTGTGCTCCTGGGGTCCTCTGTGCCTCCCCCTCCCTTCTCCTCTTGCCTCTTGGCCCCCATGGCCGACTGCCTGGCCTGGTCACGGGCTGGGAGGGCCCCCTGCACGCTCGGTTCCTGCACTCGGTTCAAACCATGCTGGCCTGCGAGGGGACGGGCCACCGGCGGCCATCCAACTCTGGAGCGGCATCCACGGGGTCTGCATCCCAAATTTGGATCCAGTTCCAGGGAGCTCTGGGGACACAACACGAAGGCAGCAGTAACTTGTGGCCTTCCGAGATCTCTCTCCTTCAAGGCCGGGTCTTGCACCAGCCCTTCCTTCCATATGTGCACGGAGGGAAGACAGGACGTGTCTAAGCGCTTCGTTCCCCTGGGGGTCAGGCACCCAGCTGGTGCCTCGCAGACGCTGTCTTTTCCACCCTGGCCAGGTGAGGGGGAAAATCTATCCTTCTCCCAATTTCTGGAGGAGGAAACCAAGGCTCAGAGAGGGCTATGGCTCGAAGCGAGGGCAGGGACTGCATCTGTCTTGCTTTCCACTGTGTCTGGCACTCAGCCCAGTGCCTGGCATCTACTAGATATTCGAGAGCTATTCCTGGAAGGAGGCAGGGAAGGTAGGAGTCATTGAAGCCAGGCAGCGGGGTGAGGGGCTGGGATTGGAAGTCAAACTGGGATCGGCTGAGTTTGACCCTGCCTCCCAAGACTTTCCTGAGCACCTACTCTGTGCCTGGTGCCTCCTTGGCCTTGCAGGACCCTAGACCCACTCATCACAATCCTGTTTTGCAGAACAGCGGCTGAAGCGGAGGCTCAGGGTCAAGGTCTCGCCCTGCCCCGGCTCTGCCCTCCACCTGCTGTGCTTTGCGCCCACAGAAGCCGCTTGTGCGGTCACTCACATAAGCCTGGCGTGGGGGTCCGCAGACGGAGTGTGGGTCCCTCACCACCCCCGCCTGAAGCCCGGTTTCTGGGTCCACACCCCAGTTCCAGTAGACGTTCGCTGAGGGGCAAGCCGATCAAGAGCCGCCCTGCCCGTTGCTGTCATGGGAAGAGCAGAAGTGGTACAGGATGAGAGCCAAGCTGGACACACAGTAGGTGCTCAGCACGTGTTGGTTGAGGGAGGGAGAGTAGGCCCAGTGGCGGGTGGGTCTCTGTCCTAATCCTGGGATTCCTGGGAGGCCCAGAGAAGCGTTTCGTGCCAACTTCTGCCTTCACTGCTCAGCTGTCCCTGTGGCCAGGCCAGGGGCAGGGGGTGGGGGGTGGAGGGCAAGGGCCCACGGAGCCGGCATGGCCCTCTCGTACCTCATGGCAGAGTCCGCACCTGGCCAGAGCAGAGTGGACCCCTTCTGCAGCTTGTCGGCAGGATGAGCCACATTAGGAACAGGTCATGCCAAGGCCACAGCCCCCATCTGTGGCGTCCCAAAGCAGATCACAGGACAAGAGAGGAACTGGAGGGGCAGCTGAGGTTGTCACCAGGCTCTGGCCCACAGCTGGGGGGAGGGGCAGCCTCTGGAAGTTAGTGGCAGATAAAGTGGCCGCGTCCACCTTTTTTGAGACCTTGGAGCCTTTTCTGGAAGAGCGATTGTGTCTCCAGCCTTGAAACGAGGTGGGAAACTGAGGCCCGGGTTCAAGTCCCAGGCCTGCCATCTCTCCCCCCACCTCCCTGCACTCAAGCCACACGACCCACGTGGGTCTCCCTGCAGCTCCTGCCTCAGAGCAGCCACGCCTGCTGTTCCCCTGCGGGACACACTCTTCCTGATGTCTGCCTGTCCGCCATCCTTCCGGGTGTGCTGTGGGGAGGTCCTCCCTGGCTATTGCTTAAAATAGCAAGCTCCCTCGTTCCACACTCACCACTCTCTTCGCTTTGCTATATTTTCCCCCAACACTGATCGCACCCGTTATGCTACTTGTTTGTGTATTTGTTTATAGTCTGTCTCCCCTCAGCTGGAATACAAATTCGATGAAGGCAGGGATTTCCTGGGGATGAATTTTAGTCATTGCTGTAGCCCCAGGGCCTAAACAGGACCCGGAATTTAGTAGGTGCTCGATAAATAAGTGTTGAATGAATGGACACATGAATTCCCATCTCAGGGTTCGGTGGGGGGTGCTTCCCTGGGTGTAGATAGGGACCGGCACTTTGGGTGCAGCCGCTGAAACTTTCTTGATCCAAGGAGCCCACATGGCTGTGCGAGAGCCCTCACCCCACACTCAGGGCCTTAGCTGACTGAGATGTTCCCCAGGCTCGGCCCCCAAGGCGAGGAGCAGAGAAGCTCTTGGTCCCTAGAGAGGGGAGCAGTGGCCTGAGCTGCTCTGATTAAAGCCTTCAAGGAGCCAGGACAGAGGGTCCAAACCACAGCCCGGGGCCCTGATGGCCATCTTTGTACCCCAGAGCTGCACAGAACCTGGCACCCACTGGGTAATGCATTATTCTTTCACCCAGCATTTACCGAGCACCCACCCACCACGCCTGGGCACGCGCGGAGCCACGGAAACAAGCTTGACCTGGTGTCTGTCTTCATGGCACTTGCTGCCTGGCAGGGAGGGCGGGCAGGCGTAGAATGAGAAACCACAGGGCTGGGTGACAAGGACCTCGACAAGACCCCTGTGGGGAGGCACCCCGAGCAGGAGTCGGCCAGGCGTGGAGCTGGACGAAACCGCCCAATCCACCTGCCCTCCAGCCCTGACGGCCACGTGCTTTCTGCACGACCAGGGGAAAGTCACCCCCCTCTCTGGGTCTCACTTCCCAGGGCTGCACGGTGGGGAGACACCTCCCTCACAGAGCAACGGTGGGACACAGATGACAGCAAATGCTTCTTCCTTCCTTCCTTGAGAGCAAATGCTTCTTCCTTCCTTCCTTCCTTCCTTCCTTCCTTCCTTCCTTCCTTCCGGGGAGCTGGGGATCCGGAAAACCCAGGACAGGGGCTCCTGATCTGGGGAGCTAGAAATGTTGGCATGTGGGCTCGAGGGTTCCACCAGATACCCAGAAGGGCCCATGACCTGGAAAAGGCTGAAGAGCCCTGGTTTCGAGCAATGAGATCAAAAGGCAAGGAAGGGGTCCCTGGTGCAAGAGGCCAAGGCCCACTGGGACACCGCGCCCCTGAAGCCGCAGGGAACGGGGTGGGGAAACAGCCTCTGGGTGCGTGCGTCCCCTACCTTCTTCCAGAGGAGCAGAGCCGTGACCACGATGCTCAGCAGGGTCAGGAGGCCCGTGAAGCAAAAGAGCAGAAGCTTCTGGGCGCCCTGTGGGGGCTCTCGGTACCCTGTGTCTAGGAGGAGGGCAGGGAAGCAGAGGGTTAGTTCCCCGAGAAAGGCTGGGGCACACCCCACCCGGCCAACCCCCAGGCCCCCAATTCCCATGTTCTCCTTTACCCAGGACTCCACTCGCAACACTCCCTGCCGGGGGACGGCCCCCCCCCCCACCAAGCCCCCACCTCTACCAAGGTCCTCGCTTTTGGCTAAGCCCCTCTCTGTGTTTGCCGCCTTGATTCTGGTTAAGGGCAAGGACCACGTCTTTGCTTCTCAAGTGCCCCTGTCTCGGGGTGAACTGGTGCCACCGATGGCCGCTTGTGGGACCCTAGGCGAGTCATGTCATCCTCCAGGGCCTCCTCACCGGTGTGCCGCAGGTGAGACGGGGCTCACACGGGCAGGTGCGGTGAGGGTGAGGGGCCCAGTTTGTCCTGGGCCTAGCTGGTGGCTGGCCTGCACCAGGGGTAGGTGAAGGGCACAGTCCATCCTTTTATCCCTCCCTCCCTCCCTCCCTCCATCTGGCTGGCAGAAAACTGCAGAGTGCCAACTACATGCCAGGCGCATCAGTGTCTGTTATTTATCAAACACTTCCTATCACCAGACGCCAGCCCTTGCACACGGCATCTCATTCTTCCCCGTAAGAGCCCTTGACGGGCAGGGTTTTGCCATGAAGGCCGGGCCCACAGCCGCACCCTGGCCAACCCAGCTCCGTGGCGTTCCCAGCCCCCAGCCCCGGCTGGTGGGAGGCCCCGGGGCAGGTCAGAGAGTCACGGCTTTGCTGATAGGCTGTTCGTAACTGTCTATAGTCATCGCTCCTTTGAGGATGTGATGAAACTAGGAAGCTTTCCCAGAAATACGCACATGAGCCCAGCGCTCAGTCACGGGCTGCCACAGACACACACGTGCAGCAGCCCAACTTGTGCCCAGCCCCCCCCCCACACACATTGTGCCGGAGGGACACCGAGACCTAGGGCCCAGTGGTTTCTCTCGGGTACCCGTGGGGTGGCCAGAGGCATAGCTCCATCCCAGGCCTCCGTCCTTCCCGAACCGAGGTGGGTGTCGGCACGCCTGTGCGGCCAGGGGCTCCCTGAGGACACCCTGTTCTGTTTTGCCAAAGCTGATAGAGGAGGTGTTCCCCGCTTTAGGTCCGGGGCCCCAAACCCTACAGTGTGAACTCTCTGGGCCCTTCGCCCTGGGGAGAGCCCGGGAGGGAGCCTCACCTCGGACCAGGATGAAGATTCCTTTGCTGATTCTTATCAAGTTTGGCCAGTGCACGGAGCAGTAGTAGGTACCGGTGGCTGACGCATTGGGCAGCTGGGGCGTGACCCAGCATTTCAGGCTGTGCGTCTGGTTCTCTTGGACCGGGTGGGCTGAGCAGTTGATCTGCTTCTCGGAGCTCCTCTGACTCTGAAGGTCCACGTGAAAGTACCAGGCTGTGAAGTCCTTCAGTTCGGGGGTGTGCGGGTAGGAGATTTTGCAGCCAAAGGAGATGGCCTCGTTGGCCAGAGAGACCATGATGGGGGCGCCGATGTGGGTCACCAACTGTCCTCCTGCAGTGGAAGGAAAAGGAGAGAGCAGGAGCCTACCCTCCGGGCCGCTTCAGTCCCTTCTCCCTCCTGAAGGCTTCAGCTCACACTCCTACCTTGCAACGCAGCCACGGCGTGCGGTAAAGCCAAGTGCTTTGTCCGTACAACCCTCCATCTCTCAGCACACCCAAGGCGAAGTGTGTAAGAGCTCCAGTTCACAGAGGGGAAGAGTCCGAGGGTCAGGGAGGTCACCCTGCTAGCTTTCAATCTCTCAGCGGGTAGGGAGTGGAGCTGTAGCCCTGCCCAAGGCAGGCAGACTCCAGACCCCACATTCCTAACCGCATCCCTACTCAAAGGCCAGGAAGCCACGTTGGATAAGAGCACCGGTTGGAAAAGACCCAAAGCTGCCGAAGGACAAGGAGTAAAAGAGGAAGGAGGCAGGAGACAAAATCAAGAAACCTTTCCTGGCAGAAGACACACAGAGGGGAGCCATGGCTCTCCCCGGCCTGAAGGAGGAGGCACGCCAGGCATCAGGAGGGACAAACCTTGCCCTGAATCTGTCGCACCCAGAGGCTGTTTCCCCACCCCGTTCCCTGCGGCTTCAGGGGCGCGGTGTCCCAGTGGGCCTTGGCCTCTTGCACTAGGGACCCCTTCCTTGCCTTTTGATCTCATTGCTCGAAACCAGGGCTCTTCAGCCTTTTCCAGGTCATGGGCCCTTCTGGGTATCTGGTGGAACCCTTGAGCCCACATGCCAACATTTCTAGCTCCCCAGATCAGGAGCCCCTGTCCTGGGTTTTCTGGATCCCCAGCTCCCCAGAAGGGAGGAAGGAAGGAAGGAAGGAAGGAAGGAAGGAAGGAGCATTTGCTCTCATCTGTGTCTCACCGTCAGTCTGTGAGGGAGGTGTCATCTGTCGCACCCAGATTCTGTCGGGACATTCCTTGCCCTGCCTAGCAAGGTCACGCTGGAGTCCTTCCCCCCCACTCCCACCACAGGCCACTTCCCGCTCTGCGTCCACCCCTGAGGCCCCTGGGCCTGGGACTCCCACCTCTTCATCTGGCCTCCTCCCACCCAGTCCCCAGACTCAGCGTGGGATCCACCCTTTTAGCCACATTGTCCCGTTTGGCCCTCCAGGCAACGGCACCAGGCCAGTGCTTCCTCCTGGGGGCCGGGAGGTTGGAAGCCAACCAAAACCACCAGGAAAGTGGTCTCGCCAGGGCCATTGAGGAGGCCTCTCCTCCTCCCCCCCGCCTGCCCACCCCGGGGCCTCCGCGTCTCTTCTCTGTGTGTCTAAGAGGCCTGGGGAGGCCAGACACGCTGTCACTACTCCAAGGCCGCCTTCCTGTTTGTCCAAGCAGGAAGACGTTCATCCAATTGTCTTCAAAATTATTTCCCCGTTTGAGGTATCCTTCTAGAAAATGATCTAACGTGCTAGTGTGATTAGGCCAATCTTTACAATTCGGGGGACATCCATAAAAAGAGATGGCCTTTGTTCTGCATTCTGCCAGGGTTCGTTATTTTACGGTCAGAAGGTTAGGATCGCGACAGCGTGTGGCCCCGGGTCAGGTCTGCCTCGGACAGGAGAGCCCCAGACCTCAGAGAAACCACACTCTCCAGCAGCGAAGAAGGAGGCAAGTCTCTGTCGACCAGGAAGGACGGACAACCGGGGAACAGCGGGTAAAAATTGAGGAGGAGGGGTGCAGGCCTGTCACTGCCGAGAAGGAGCCTGGGTCCTGGCCGGATGGTGCAGCCCACCGCCTCCAAGGCCTCTTACTCTTATTGGGGTGTTAGCAACCCCGGAGTCCGGACCACAGCAGCCCGGCTGCCACCTAGGCCGTGCCAGCCCCTGCCCTGGCTGGGCACAGCTAAACACCACGACAACCCTTTGAGGCCACCACCGCAGCCCCATTTTGCAGACAAAGACCCCAGAGGGTCCTAGAGGCCCGAAGCCACGGAGTCCCTAAGTGGCCAAGCGGTATTTGAGCCCAGGCTTTGTCCGTGCTGAGGATGTGAAACCAGCCCCCGGACAAAGTGGGTAGTCGAGTCAGGGACACAGTCCTGTGTGGCCTGGCCTGGGGCTGGTTCACGGTGGCAACCGACGCCACATGCAGATCCCCGGCCCAAGTCCCAGCTTCCCAGAGTTGGAGGCCAGGGGGCTGCGTGACAGAGAGCATGGGTGCCGAGAGGCTTGGAGAGGGCGCCCGCCTGCCCTTTGGGCACCTAGCCCTCACCCCAGACCCAGAGGGGCTTCAGTGGGACCCTCCCAAAGCTTGGAGTGTATCCCCCACCGAACGAGGTGGGTTGGGGCAGAGCGAGCTCCCTGGGGACCCTCTTGCATTTCATGGGCCACCCAGAGGAGCACGTGGCCCAGGGAGGAGGACTTGAGGGCGAGACTTAAATTCCTGGGGCTGAGGAGGGAGGCAGAGCCGCAGGAGCACAGCCGGTGCACAAAAGTGCCCGAGGGGACCCACTGCCAGCCCTGTGGGTACCCAGAGCACAGGGCCAGCTGTCACAGCACCCACCAGCAGGGCTCCTCTGCCCTCTCCCTGCCCCTTCCCTGTCCCCCGTCTCGACCCAGCTGACACACGGGGAAGGACGCCAAGGGGGCTCCAGGGGGGAGAAGAAAAAGGGACCCTCACCCCTCACTCTCACACAGGCCCCAGACGCTGCTTCAGCATGCACCGAGTTCAGCCTTTTGGCTGTTACCCTGGTTGGAGAGACGAAGAACCGGGGCTTCGAGTCTGCCTGCGAGTGACCGCTGGGCAGAGCGGCTGGAGCGGCCAGGCTGGCTTGGCTTCCCCCGCAACATCTCCCTGCGATGAAAGGTCTACGGGGCCGCGGGAGCCCCGCCAAGTCGCTCTTTGGATAATCCTCCGGGAGGCTGGTGGGTTCTTGGTGCAGCCCAGGCCAGGACTCAGGCAGGGAGGAGGGAGAAGCCTGGCTTGTTTTCTGTAGGGAGATGGGTTCGTCCAAGTCACAGAGCTCCCTGCCTGGTAGGGAGAAGGGCCTGGGGACGACGCTCGCGTGGAGCCGGGGCAGAGGTGGGGCGGTGGTGAGGAGAGGACGGCCAGAGATGGGATTGGGAAATAGTCGGATAGCGTGATGCCTGAGAGGACCCCACTCCGAAGGGCCACCACCCCAGCCTGAGAGGACCCCGCTCCCTAGGGCCCCCAGCCCAGCCCAGCCCTGCCCCGGAGCTTGCTTACTTCCAAGGCATCTCCAAGATCTCCCCTCCCCACCCCCACACCATTACAAGCACAGCCGGTTTGCTGGGCAGCGTAGGCTCTACAGCTAAGCCCTCCGCCACCCCCCCACACACACCCGCCCCGCCACCAGCCCTTGGCAGGAGGGGTGTCCTCAGGGATGGCACACCCTCCACCCCTCACTTCTCTGTAGCTCCCAGGACTGCTAGGAAGTCTGGGGCCTGGCCAGAAATGTGGGTTGGGGGCGTGTGGGAAAAGCCTAGTTTCTTGAGGTATCAGGCCTGGGTTTGGATCCTGCCTTTGCCGCCCGAAGTCTGTGCCACCTCCGGCGGGTGGCTTTCTTTCTCCGAAGCTTGGTGTTGCCCCTGAAAATCGGGGAGAGCAGCAGAGGGTTGGCATGGGATTAAGTGGGGCCAGGAACATCAGAGGGGCCACCAGGCCGAGCTGCCTTTCTTCCCCGGGCACCAGAAAGAGGCGAGGAGGTCAGAGGAGTCCTCGTCGAGCCTGGAAGGCCAAATGCAGCCCGACCCTCTGCCTGTGTAAGCGACAGGCCCACAGCGGGGCGGCCGGCCAGCACGACAGCCTGTCTAGCTCCCCGGGCCCTGGCCTGGCCTGGACACAAGGGAGTGGGTGACACCCCGGGGTGCAGACCCTGGGCCTCGTCCCCAGGCCCCCCCGCCAGGTGTGCAGGGGCTCAGAGCCTGGAGAGCCCTCCCTCCGGCAGTGTCCCTCTGTCCTCCCCCCATCCTGAGGATCTGTTGCCCCTGTTGGGAAAGAGTCTGTCTGCCACCCGCTGTCACCAGATCCTTCCTTTTCTGGTTCTTCTTTTGAGTCTGTGGCCACGTGAGCCGCGGGTCTCACTGCCACCCTGGCCCCGCGACCCTGTGCTGAGTCCCTTGGGGGAGGGGCTCGCGGTCAAAGAACTTGACTCGATGCAGGAAGGGTGCCCGCTCCATCTGCCCTCCCCACACCCCACACATCGCACGCCCCCATTCACCCGACAGCTCCCCTCCCCTGGGCTCCTCTCCCCTGCAACCAGAGACCTGCCCTGCACTGCTCCCGAGGGAGCCACAAACCATCCTGCTCACCCTGCTGGGCTGCCCCACCAGGGGAGACCCAGGAAGGAGACTGAAACCAATTTACATGGTGAACACCAGCAGCTAAAAAGAAAATAGAACACGAAGCATTTTGTGCATAACAAGGGCACTTTCTGTGACCTCCTGGTTTCAGTTAAATTCACATAACTGGGTTCAGACGGGGTCATGCTATAACAAGCGTCCCTTAGCTTTGGGCCACCTTTAAAAAATAAAAATTTCAAGTCCCTTGATTGGAGGATCCAAGCCGTGCCTCCAGGCCCTGCGCGGCCCAGCTCAGCTGCCCTCTGCTCACTCGCCCCCAAATACCAGGCCTGCCAGGCTCTTGAGTCTTTGCCCACGCTAGTCTCACTGCTCCGAATGCCCTCCTGTCCCCTTCCTCTCCCAGGACTGTGCCGTCACCCTCTCAATCTGCAGGACTTCCTTCCTTCCTGAGCCACTCCTGGGTTCCCGACTCCCCCTGCTTGGCACAGTTTCTCAGGCATTGCTGGTAAGCCCCGTGATGAGACGCGTCAATGTCCCCGGGGGCACCCTCCCCTTTTGCAGATGAGAAAACTGAGGCTCTGAGAAAGGAAGAGGTTTGCCCAGCATCACAGCTGGTCAGGAGTGGGGATGTAATTTTAAGCTGGTCCTTAACCCCACACCCTTTTTTTTTCTTTTTTCTTTTTTCTTGTTAATATTTACCTATTTGGTGGGAAAGTGCAAGTGGGGGAGGGGCAGAGAGGGGAG